GTGGTGACGTCTCGGCCGGGTGACACCCAGTGACCGCTCCGGGTGTCACCCAGCCTCGGGACGCCCCCGAGTGGAGGTTCCCCATATTTATTACATTGACCGCCATTGGGTTAGGGTTTCACATCTACTTTGAGGAATGATTCCCCCTCTGAGTACATTGTTATTATCTCTTATAACGTATCCAGATTCTAGATACAATGTTTCAGGTTTAATATTAAAAGACAAGACAAGGTTAGATCAAGTTCACATTGCTTCCTCCCCGTGTGCATTGGAGGGAATAATTATCCAGAGATGGAATTCCCGGCCCTATGATCAGTTATGAGGCTCCGTGCTGCTCTTTGATTCTCCGTCCTGGTTATAAACTTCCATTTTATTTGCTGCGTTAAACTTTTCATGACCTCGAGGTAAACAATTCTTCTCTATTAAAGGAGACCTAAGAAGTCATAGGCCGTACGGCACAGAGCCCTGCCATCGTGTACCTGTGTTATCTTCATGAGTGGTCCAGCAGACCTCATACCAGAGGGGGGGTACCCTGCATGCAAATACTGACTCCCAGCACCAGAAAAAAACTGAACAGGAACCCCCCCCCCCCCCCATATCTCTATGAGGCCAGGAAGGCATTGCACATTGCATTGTATGGATGTATGACCCAAAGGCACTATATAATATGGAGGGTGTCAGGTTCAGGGGCTTTTAGGGTGTTCTGAAACACTTTAATGTATTTATTGTTTTAATACTTTACAGTCATAAGAAGTGTAATTTAAAGCTGAACTCCGGACACAAAAACCTTCCGTTAAATATATTCAGTAGCCATGGATTGAGTCCATTCTCCTGGAAGGCTGGAACATAAGGATTACACTATATCCATGGACAATGACCGTGATTATGCATTTGTGATATACTGGGACATGGCTTACCGCACTGTGCACTTTATTTAAAAGAGAACTATGGGGTCAGTGTTTTTCCCCATAGTTCTCCTAAGGGTCACAGGAGGACACAAACTAGCGTCCTCCCGTCACCCAAAGCTCAGTATATAGGGAGCTACAGCTCGCGGTATACTGAGACCGCCGCAGCCTGGACGGATCCCGACATTACTGTCGCGTTTCACCCAGCTGCGTGAGTGACAGCTGGCTCTGCCTATCTAGAGGCAGAGCCAGCTGTGCCCGCCCCCGTCCGTTCCTCCACTCAGCGTTGGAGGATCGGAGCGGGGAGGGGGGGATCCCTGCAGGGAGCCGTGAGTGACAGTCACGGCTTTCTGCAGGGAGATGATCGAGAAGTGAGCGAGCGACGGTATGTGTTCACTCACTTCCCGATCTATAGAGCCGACCTGTGACAGTTTCATTGTCACAGGTCGACTCGAACTATCAGGATGAGTGATTTTCACTCACCTCATAGTTCTCCTTTAATTTTGAGGAACTGTGGACTTAACATACTGTAATACATTGATAAGGTGCACTGTATATTAATGGTTATAGGGTGTTTATGATTTATGCATGTTATGTGGATTTCAATGATGTAAGAAAGTGCTAGACATTATTTGATTTAAATATCAGAAAAATACCACATTATGGCCACTAGATGGAGCCGAGGAGTGCAGGAGATAAATATTAATTTCCTATGCTCCTCTGCGCCATCTACTGGCCATTGGAAAGAAGTATTTGTTTCCTATGATCCTCAACGCCATCTAGTGGCCATAACGCAGTATTTTTCTGTTATTGCATTCAATCTGGAAAGTAAATATACCAAAAACATTTGTTTTTCCCATTGTATGCTTTTCTCCTCACAGAGGATAAGCAATATGGGGAGGGATCTAAAGCTAGTGATCACCATGATTAGCTATTGTTTGGGTTGATTTGAGGTGACATTTTAATAATGTATCCTCTACACACCTTCTCATCGCTCAGAATCTCTATAACACCTTCCTCGTCCAGGATCATGGTGAGAAAACTGCGCCATCGAAGGGACCGCATCTACTCCGCTACCACGACAAGACCAGCGAGAGGACCTACCAGGTGCAGGTAAGTGGAACGCACTGGAAACGGGCCCTTGAGATACATATAGCCAAGACATATGACCCGCTCAGGGCTGGTGCCAGGCATTGCCGCCGTACTGCAGAATATCTCTCTCCTCTTTACAGTGCAGAATACACGAGATAATCTGCAATAACTTCTCAGAATTCTAATTCTGCAAAATGTTTAATATGACTGTTGCAACTCTCTACTCATTGGCTCCTCTACACAGGCTCCTCCCCCTTCAGACTAACATGAACGCTGCTGCCAGACTCATCCACCTCACCAACTGCTCAGTGCCCACCACCCGTCTCTGCCAGTCCCTCCATTGGCTCCCATCCCCCACCACTCTCTGCCAATCCCTCCACTGGCTTCCATCCCATGCCCATCTCTGCCAATCCCTGCACTGGCTTCCATCCCATGCCCATCTCTGCCAATCCCTCCACTGGCTTCCATTCCCCCGCCCCCCTCCTCTGCCAATCCATCCACTGGCTTTTATCCTCCTCCCTTCTGCACCAATCCCTCTATTGGCTTCCATCCCCTGCCCCTCTCTGCCAATCCTTCCACTGGCTTCCATCCCCCTGCCCCTCTCTGCCAATCCTTCCACTGGCTTCCATCCCCCTGCCCCTCTCTGCCAATCCTTCCACTGGCTTCCATCCCCCTGCCCCTCTCTGCCAATCCCTCTACTGGCTTTCATCCCCCCCCCCCTCTCTGCTAATCCCTCCCCTGGCTTCCATCCCCCCGCCACTCTCTGCCAATTCCTAAACATACATACAAAACCATTAACAAATCTGTTTACATCATGAACCTCATCTCAAAATATCACTCAAACCATCCTCTCTGCCCCTCCCAAGACCTCCTGCTCTCTAGCTCCCTCATCGACTCCTTCCATGCTCCCCTGCAGGACTTCTCTAGAGCCTCCCCCATGCTCAGGAACTCTCTACCCCAATCTGTCTTGCTATCTCCTACTCTGTCCCTAAAAACTCATCTCTTCAGCCAAGCCTATCTCACCTCAGCCTAATAACTCACCTTTTACTTCCCGCATCACCTCTTCCCCCACAGTTATCACCTTGTATCACTTACCTTTTAGATTGTAAGCTCTCAGGGTCAGGGTCCTCCGAACCCTCTTGTCATGAATTGTATGGTAACTGTACTGTCTCCCCTCATATTCTAAAGCGCCGCACAATCTGTCCGTGGCATATAAATCCTGTATGATAATAAAAATACTACTAACAATAATATTTCAGCCTCCAGAAGCTCTGAGTGTGAACGCGGCGGAGGAAACAATGCTGAGGAAACTCCCGATTGCGCAATACCTTCAGTTCCAACATCTGGCCCCCGAAATCAACTCCCGAAGACTGGCTCAGATTCACGAGCTCATGCATTACTGTAACACAGGTGAGTCCTGCACATGGGGGGGTGGGAGGGGGTCTGTGGATGGCTGATCGTTGTGTGGACATTCCGGGACACGTCCCCATATCTCCACAATACATTCCACTGTACAATGTATCACAAACATTCGAAGCTTCTTTTCTGTGTTTTCTCGCAGATCTGATGCCGTGGGAAGCAGTGACACGGGCATTTCAGCTCCTGACGTTTGAGAGTTTGACCCTGACGGGGTTTGATGAGATTGGGGATCTGGAAGGTCCGGGAAAGATTTTGGGGGGCGACAGTCACATCCCCTGGGACGATCCAGCGGCATTTGCACGAGAAGCTCATAGAGCGTACAGCGTCAGGAAGATGTATGAGAAGGCCAATCCTGCGGGTGAGGGCCGGGGTCAGCGGGATCTCGAGATTCCATTTATTCCCATATATTGTATAGATTGATGTGGTCGTGACTCTGACAGCGGGAATGAAAATGAGTAAAAATACATCAACATGAACAGATTTAAGTAGTAACAATTATATTTATGTATCTGGGAGTTTATTTCTGGTTTTAGAAACATTTAGACCCAATGTAACATCTGACTGCAATTCTTATTTCTCACCTGTAGAGGGAGCTGAAGTACAGAATGTGAACTTGGCGGAGACGACGGTAACTTTGTTCTTCTTTAATACGTTTTATACAGAAAGATGAGAAATATGTTTTATATGATTTCTGTGTGCAGTGCAGAGATTTCTCGGAGCTATGGAGAGTTACATTTATATAGCTCCCACATATACCGCAGTGCTGTACAGTAGTGATGGGCTCGGGCGTGTTCGCAGCTCCACGTGACGAGCCCGCCAGGAAGCTGACAGCGCCGCAGCGCCAATCACAGGCACGGAGATATTTCCCGATCTCTGCAGCTGCGGACCGGGATAATGTCTCAGTACCTGTGATTGGTGCTGCGGCGCTGTC